CACACACCACACACACCACACACACACCACACACACACTGGAGAGGCTCTGCTCCTGCTGCAGAAGACTTGAAGTCTCCTCAAAGGAACAGATGCCCCACTCAGGAGCACAGGTCAAAGGCTGTGCCTTCCCTTCTCTCCCCCCGGTGAGAGGCCCTGCTTGTCGTCTGAAGAGGCAGAAACCAGCACTGGGCCTGGCAGAGGCTGGTGAGTGGTGATTTTGCTCCTGCCACTGGTGCTGCCCTGGGGATGGGGTAGAGGTGGGCACAGCTATGAGGCAGGCTGGGGTGAGGACCCCAGAAACCCCTCACCTCACACATCCCATTTTCCAGGCCCTTCTCTCCCCCAGTTTTGTACCCCAGGGTGATGGTTCTCCAAGAGATGCAGCCCTCAGGCATGATAAATCCTGAATTTTTTTTTTTTTTAGATGGGGTCTCTCAATCTGTTGCCCAGGCTGGAAGGCAATGGCTTGATCACAGGCTGACTGCAGCCTCAACCTCCCCGGGCTCAGTTGATCCTCCCACCTCTTCCTCCTGAATACCTTGGACCATAGGCATGTGCCACCATGCTTGGCTAATCTTCCTATTTTTTGTAGAGATGAATTTTCAGCATGTTGCTCAGGCTGGCCTCAAATTCCTAGGTTCAAGTGATCTTCTTCCCTGGGCCACCCAAAGTGCTAGGATTACAGGTACCAGTCACTGTGCCTGGTCCTGAAGGTCTTTGAGGGGGGTAAGGACTCAGGCACTTCAAGAAGCAGACCTCAGGCCAGGTGCAGTGGCTCATGCCTACAATCCCAGCATTTAGGGAGGCCAAGGTGGGCAGATGACCTGAGGTCAGGAGTTCAAGACCAGCCTGGCCAACATGGAGAAATCCCATCTCTATTAAAAATTCAAAACTTAGCTGAGTGTGGTGGCAGGTACCTGTAATCCCAGCTACTCAAAAGCTGACACAGGAAATTTCCTGAACCCGGGAAGCGGAGGTTGCAGTGAGCTGAGATCATACCACTGCATGCACTCCAGCCTTGGCAACAGAGCAACACTCTGCCTCAAAAAAAAAAAAAAAGAAAAGAAAAGAAAAGAAAAAGCAGACCTCTAGGGAACAGGAGGATCAACCAACTGAGATACTACAAGATAGGTTCTGGCTGGGCACAGTGGCTCACGCCTATAATTCCAGCACTTTTGGGAGGCCAAGGCAGGAGGATCGCTTGAGCCCAGGAATTCAAGACCAGCCTGGACAACAGAGTGAGATCCCTATCTCTACAAAAAATTTAAAAATTGACTGGGCACAGTGACACATGCCTGTGCCTGTGGTCCCAGCTACTCCAGAGGCTAAGGCAGGAGGATCACTTAGGCCCAGGAAGTCGAGACCGAAGTGAGCCATGATTGTGCCTCTGCACAATCATGTGCAGACTGGGTGACCAAGTGAGACCCTATCTCAAAAATAAAAAAATAAAGGAAAAGAAAAAAAAGTTATCTGCTCAGACATGTAAGCTAGCCTTGTGGCCAAGGCAGAGAGACTCTCACGGCCTGTCTCAGAACAGCCACCTAATGACCATCAAAATCTTGACACATTGGCTGGGTGCAAAATGGTTCATGCCTGTAATCCCAGCACTTTGGGAAGCTGAAGGAAGAAGACTGTTTGAGGCCAGGAGTTCAAGACTTGGGCAACATAGGGAAACTCCATCTCTACAAAAAATTTTTAAAATTTGTTGAGCATGGTAGTGTGTACCTGTGGTCCCACCTACTCAGGAGGCTGCGGCAGGAGGATTCCTTGAGCCCAGGAGGTGGAGGCTGCAGTGAGCCATGATGGCACACTCCAGCCTGGGTGACAGAGTGAGTGATACTTTGTCTAAAAACAAAAACAAAAACAACCTTGACACATTCCTCTACACCCCAGTTTCCCCCTTTTTTGTTGCTTATTTAATTTTTAAAAAACTTACAGTGGCGGTCAGGCACAGTGGCTCACGCCTGTAATCCCAGCACTTTGGAGGCTGAGGCAGGCAGATCACCTGATGTAAGGAATTCAAGACCAGCCTGGCCAACATGGTGAAACCCTGCTTCTACTAAAAATACAAAAAATTAGCCAGGCATGGTGGCACACACCTGTAATCCCAGCTACATGGGAGGCTGAGAGAGGAAAATCGCTTGAGCCAGGAGGTGGAGGTTGCAGTGAGCTGAGATCATGCCACTGCACTTCATCCTGGATGATACAGCAAGACTCCCTCTCAAAAAAAAAAAAAAAAATTTCTCTGGCCTGCCTAATGCTTAAGTGTTTAAATTCCCCCGCCCCCCGTCACTTTTTATTATTATTATTATTATTATTAATTTTTTTTGGCAGCACTCAAGAGGCCATCATTTCCACCTCCATACTGGTCAGTCTGATTTTCTCCACATCCTTTCTATTCAAGCATCAAAGACTGGGGAAACTGAGTCATAAAAGAACAGATGTTCTAGAGTTTCAACGTTTATTCCTGGCATGACTAAGAGGACAGAAGAACCTGCTGACCTCATCCTACAGCTATACAGGGACTCCAGGCCTTGCCCCAAGATGTACCCTTATGTTTTCTGCCTGCAGTAGGTGGGGGCAGACTCTGCCTTCAGAAGGAACTACAAGATGTTTCTTTGTTTGTTTTGAGATGGAGTCCGGCACTGTCGCCTAGGTTGGAGTGCAGTGGTGCGATCTCGGCTCTCTGCAACCTCTGCCTCGTGGGTTCAAGTGATTCTCCTGCCTCAGCTTCCTGGATAGCTGGGATTACAGGTGCCCTCCACCATGCCCAGCTAATCTTTGTATTTTTAGTAGAGACGAGATTTCACCATGTTGGCCAGGCTGGTCTTGAACTCCTGACCTCAGGTGATCCACCCACCTTGGCCTCCCAAAGTGCTGGGATTATACGTGTGAGCCATGGCACCCGGCCGGGAAATACAAGATGTTAATGAAAGAAGTTGAGAACATGGGCGAGGTGGTTCACGCCCATAATCCCAGCGCTTTGGGAGGCCTGGGTGGGCAGATCACCTGAGGTCAGGAGTTCAAGACCAGCCTGGTCAACATGGTGAAACCCCGTCTCTACCAAAAATACAAAAATTAGCCAGGCCTGGTGGCGAGCGCCTATAATCTCAGCTACTCGGGAGGCTGAGGCTAGAGAATCGCTTGAAGCCAGGAGGCAGAGGTTGCAGTGAGCTGAGATCATATCATTGCACTCAAGCCGGGGTGACAAGAGCACAGGAAGTCAGGGGACCTAGCCGGGACACACTGCCTTTTCCACCACCTAGCTGAGTGGCCCTAACCTCCCTGGCAGAGCCACTTAACCTCTTTGTTACTTCTGAAATGTGAACGAGGAGGATAGATGGATATAAGGCCCCTTACTGCTCTAAGAATCTATGGGATTGGATTTCAGTTCAGCATCCATTTCCAGGTTTGCCCTCACCTTTCCAGTGATAGACATCTGGGCAGGTAGGGCAAAGAGCAATTCTCTGGCTGCTGGTATAGTAGACCTAAGGCTTGGGCAAGTGCCTGATACAGAAGAAAAAGAATTGCCCCTTTTTCTCGGCAGCCAGGACAGAGACCCAGTGCCCAGCCCGCTTATACCTCCAACCCGGCCCATCCATCGCCTGACACACGAGTGCCGGGCGTGTTCTTGTCCCTCATTGCTGGCCCTACCTTTCCAGTTCTGGCAGTTTCTTGCTGGCTCTCCCTGCCTTGGGTTTCCCCCCAGCCCCCTCTCTGAGGGCAGCACCTTCCCATGTCCTGCCACAGGTCAGTGCAGCTGTGAAGGAGGCGGAGGAGTGAGTGTCTGAGACACGAGTGATCCAGGGCCTTCGAGCTGCAGAGTACAACCCTCGCACACAAGCTCGGATTCCTCCAGACGGTTGTCTTAGAGAAGGTGGAGATGTGATTTCCCAGGTTCTCCATGAAGGAGTCAACTATTCAAATTCCTCTATGTTCTTCTTCCTCTTACCCCTTCATTCCCTCTGTTTCTCCTGCCTTCCTCATCGCCATTCTTTCTTACATTATTTTGCTTCTTTCCTCAGTTCTCCAGGATCTTCACCTATTTATTTATTTTGAGATAGGGCATTACTCTGCCACCCAGACTGCAGTGCAGTGGAATGGTCATGGTTCTCTGCAGCCTTGACCTCCTGGGCTCAAACAATCCTCTCACCTCAGCTTCCTAAGTAGCTGGGACCACAGGTGCATGCCAACACGACCAGCGTTTTTTTTTTTTTTTTTTTTTTTTTTAGACAAGTTATCACTCTGTTGCCCAGGCTGGAGTGCAGGGTGTGGCGGTGGAGTGTGGTGGTCATCTCAGCTCACTGCAGCCTCGACCTCCTAGGCTCAAGTGATCCTTCCACTTCAGCCTCCCACCGAGTAGCTGGGACTACAGGTGCATGGCACCACACCTGGCTAATATTCTGTATTTTTAGTAGAGATAGGGTTTTGCCATGTTGCTCAGGCTGGTCTCGAACTCCTGGGTTCAAGCAATCTGCCTGCCTTGCCCTCCCAAAGCGCTGGGGTTACAAGCGTGAGCCACTAAGCTTTGCCGAAGATTCCCCATGTTCCCACTGAACTTCCTTTTTCCTTCTCCTGGGTCACTCCTGAGCCCTGGCTGAGGGGAGAGAAGGGAAGGATAGCTCCTCCTGTGGCCGTCTCAGCATCCAAGGCAATCCTTCTGGGACTGCTCTGTCCCCAGGGCCCCAGCCATTCCCAGGCACTGAGTGCCTGGGGGGGGGACCCTCACTCCTCTGGCACTATGGGAAGATAGGAAAACAGTGACTTCTCCTCAAAGCAGCCTCGCCGGTCAGCTGACTACCAACATGGGAAGTGGCCGAAGATCCACATGGGATGACGCGATAAGCACTTTGTAGTGTCTGAAACTCTTAAACATCAGTGCTGTCTTCCCAGTTTTACAGACACAACTCTGTGGGTTGGGTGAGGTTTTCCTAAATGTACAAATGCAGAAATATACGGAGGGGGTAAAGGGACTGCCTAAAAATCACATCTAGAGTGTGGTGTACCTGATTTCAAATCTTTTATTTTACTCTCGCGGCAACGGGAGAATCCGCAGTCAAGGGAAGTGAAATAACTTGCTGAACGCCGCACAGCGGACTCCAAGCCCCGAGCTCCTAGAGGAGAGGAGGAGGAAGGCGGGCTCAGCTCCCGCCACCCAGCAGCGGGGGAGATGCAGTCCGGGACTCGGCTGAGCCACGGGGACAGATCCAGGCCCCGCCCCCTGACCTTGTTCTCTGCCCGCCGGGAAGTGGGGAGCTTGCGGGGAGCAGCCTCAGCTCGTCCCTGGGGCAGAGTCTCCACTTGGGTGCACGCCCTGGGGTGGGGCTTATTTGGGAGGCTGGTGGCCTTGAACTCTGTTCAGGAGCTTGGGCCGGAGAAAGGCCCCGGAGACTTGAAGCCCTTGTCCGGGAGGGATGAAACATGCAAAGGAACCCGGGGAACGGGGTAGGGGACCAAGAGCAGGACCAGCTCCTCCTGCGCAGGGACAGGGCCAGTGGAGCGGCCTGGAGGAATCCCTCCCAGCCGGGAAGCCCGGGAAGGCTGCGAGGCCCCGGCGCGGAGCGGCCCCTCCCACCTCCCCGAGGGCGGGCGGAGCAAAGCCTTGGGGCCCGGGCCCAGGTTTTGTGCCTGCGGAGGCTGGACTTCCCCGCCACCCCGAGGAGCCACCGCGGGCCTTCTGTGCCTGGCAGGGTCCCTGGGAGGCCCGCGCTTTCTCTGAAAGTGAAAGGAGTGGGCGGGGGGCGCGGCCGAGGCGGGGCGCGGGCGGGCAGCGGCGCAGGCTCCGCCCCGGGGCCGTCTCCAGCCGGGGGCGCGGAGCCGCTCCAGTCCCCGGCGCGCCGCGGGCTGGTGGGCTCAGCGGCGGCGCCGGCACTGGGAAATGACCCTGCCCGGGGGCCCAACGGGCATGGCGCGGCCGGGGGGCGCGAGGCCTTGCAGCCCGGGGCTGGAGCGGGCCCCGCGCCGGAGTGTCGGGGAGCTGCGCCTGCTCTTCGAGGCGCGCTGTGCGGCGGTCGCTGCGGCCGCCGCCGCGGGGGAGCCCCGGGCTCGCGGGGCCAAGCGGCGTGGGGGACAGGTCCCCAACGGGCTTCCGCGGGCTCCCCCGGCCCGGGTGATCCCTCAGCTGACCGTGACAGCCGAGGAGCCCGACGTGCCCCCGACCAGCCCTGGGCCGCCCGAGCGGGAGAGGGACTGCCTCCCGGCAGCGGGCTCTTCGCACCTGCAGCAGCCGCGCCGCCTTTCCACCTCGTCGGTCTCCTCCACTGGCTCCTCGTCGCTGCTCGAGGACTCGGAGGACGACCTGCTGAGCGACAGTGAGAGCCGGAGCCGCGGCAACGTGCAGCTGGAAGCGGGCGAGGACGTGGGTCAGGTACGGGCCGCGGGGGCGGGGCCAGCGCCGGGCGCGGGGGCTGCGCGGGGGACCCAGCTCGGAGCTCCCGGAGGACCCGCTCCTGTCCATGCTCCCTCCCGCGGAAGGTCCTGTTCTCGCGGTTTAGGAGGAATCTGGGGGTCAGAGGGAGGCGCCTGGCCGACCTCTCGCCTGGGCAACTTTCATTCCGGCTCCGCCGGCGGGTCGTGGCTCTGGCCCTGGGGCGTCTAAGAAGCGGGGCGAGGAGCAGGCGACCCGCCGCGGGGACTGGGCGAAGCGCGGGTAGCGGACCTTGTTGGCTGTGGGGTAGGACATGAGGGATCGGAGGGGCTGAGCCTTGCCAGGTGAACCCTCGGAAGGAGAGGGGCGAAGGAGCGTTTCCCTCACTCCCCGCCCCCTCTCTAGTGCCGTGGCCCCACCCCCGCCGTTGCCACGGTTTCCCTCTCCTGAGTGGGAGTGGAGCGGCGCTCCAGGCTCTGCTCGGGAGCCGCTGCCGTCTGCTCCCAGCGCCCGCACGAGGCGTGGACGCAGGGGAGGGAGGGGCGTAGGCCTGGGAGCTCTGGCTGGGAGGGAACGCAGCCCACCCGGTGCGAGCCCTGCCTCCCATCCTCCCGGCTCGCCGCTCCTGAGCGCTGCAGAGAGGGACGGTAAACTGAGGCTGCAAGGGGGCGGGATCAGCCTGCTAGTCTCTGCCTCTGATAGCCTGGGTGTTCTGGGACCAGGTCTGACCCTCGGAAAACACAGCCCCGGGCACTGTTAAGTCATTCCTGACGCCCGCCGCTAGGGATGTGCGGCTCCCGGGACACCCTCCTTGTTCCCCTCGTTTTAACCACGGCCAAATACCTTGAATAACTGTCCGTGGTCAGCGCGCAGGACTTGCTTTAGATCCACGTTAGACAAGTGTCCCTGAGGCCGAGGAAGAGGCGAGCGGCGCCCCTGGCCTCGGGCGTCTGGGGCCTGCCCAGAAGGCCGGGTCGGGTCGGCTCGGCAGAGCGGGGAGAGCTGTGGCCGCGCGTCTGCTCCGCCGCACACTCGATGGGACAAGGCGGGGAAGCTGTGGCGACTTGCAGGGGTTCACAAGCCCGGAGGGCGATGGGGTTTGTCAGTGATACCAGAAGGGAAAAGCCTCACAGATCAGGAACACCTCCCGCCGCCAGGTGCTGCGTGAGCCAGGCTCGGTTACGAGCCCTGCCGCTTCCCCTTCTCCCGCGGTGCTCAGGGCAGCCCCGGACCCAGGATCGTTTCTGGGGTAACCCTTGCCTAGGTCAGGGGGCGGATGCCGGGGCTTCGCAGGATGGTGGAGTGTGGGGAAAAGCCTGAGCAGCAGCTCCGGGGGCGCGGCCCCCGCCGAAGTTCTGACACCTCAGAGGCGGCGCAGGCGAAAGGGCGCGAAGCGCGGGCGCGTCCCGTTTCCCTCTTCCGCCCGCAGGGACTCGGCGAAGTGCCTGGGAGAGGGAGTGTGCTAAGAGGAGGTCCCGCAGCCCATGCCTGGGTGTAGGAGAGACCGCCCCGGCTGAGGTCAAGCCTCGAGGACCTGGGCGACCCCGCCGCCCCCGAGCCGTCCGGAGTCGGTGCAAATCGCCGCTGAGGGCCTTTCCAGCTCCAAGGCTGCGGCTTCCAGGCCTTCCCCACCCCTAGGCCCGCCGGGGCCTCCCCGAAGGCAAACAGCCACAGCAGCAGCAGATAAGCCAGGGGCTGTTGACAGAGGCTGCCTGCGTCCGTGTGGAAGGGCCCAGGGCGGACTTTGCCTCGCGGCGGGTCCCAGAGCCGCACAGCGCGCCCGCCCAGGCCAATTTAGGGCTTTCCCAGGCAGGAAGCAAGGCAGGTCCGCCTGACCATGAAGGATGCACCTGGGCCGGACTCTAGGACTCCTGGCTTACCAGCCCCTTAAGCGCGGCCCATGCAGGCCGAAGCCCAGGAAGGTTCTGCCTGCCTGCCTGCCTGCCTGCCTGCCTGCCTGCCTGCCTCTGCCTGGGGCATACGTAGTCTCCTTCACCTCCTAGGAGCTCTCTCCAGCCTGCCCAGAGCAGGGGAATTGAGACTGGGCGGCCTCACTCTGGCAGAGGAAAAAGTCATGGGCAGGCTTTTCCTAACCAGCCAGGCGAGAAGTTGGAGGCCCACCCCCAAGGTCAGCTTCATGATTCTAAGGCCTTGCCTGCCTCCTCAAACAATTGTGGGGTGTTGCTGGAGGAAAAGAGAGGGTGTTTGGCTCCTGTTCATCTGGTTTTCTTCTTGCTGTGCTCCAGGATAGGTAAGGAGACCTGGATGCCATCCCCTCCTGGACTCAGAATTCCCACACATCACTTTCCACTAATTATAGAGCAGAATTTAGGTTAACAGACTTCCTTTTTAAAAAGCTAATGCCCATGGGAAGGTGAAGTCGTGGCTCACTTATACCTTAGTGCAAATCGTTTTATAAATTTAAACTGATTGCTCTCCCCACCACCACGACCACAGGGAGTGCTAGTTTGATAGGGCAATTGGAACATGGGGAGGGTGTTGGGCTGGTCGAGAGCTTCGACCAGAGCCTGGATGACTGGAGGCAGGGAGCAAGGGTGAGTGCCGAAAACAGAGCATTCACCCATCTGCCGGTCTGCTCCGGCATCAGCAGGTGTCTTCAAGGCTTCCAAATAGAGCTTAGACAAAGGAGGGTCTGAGGCTAGTAACCAGCTAAGCCCTGCCCAGAGAGAGGTGCTCCCTGTTCAGCCCTAGGAGTAAGGAATTATCAGAGGGCCCTCTTGTGACTTCATTAAAGTCTCTCCCACAGTCAGCAATCCTAGCCTTTGCCTCAAGGTACCCAGGTAGCCTCTGGCTGTGTGTTGGTCTCCCAGAGAGGGCACCTTCGTGGAGGGAGGCCTGAGCCAGAGGATGTTCAAGCGCCTCCAGGCGTCAAGCAATTCTACTGCCTTAGCCTCCCAAGTAGCTGGGATTACAGGTGCCTACCACCACACTGGCTAAGTTTTGTATTTTTAATAGAGATGGGGTTTCACCATGTTGGCCACGCTGCTCTTGAACTCCTGACCTCAAGTGATCCATCCGCCTTGGCCTCCTAGAGTGCTGAGACTACAGGTGTGAGCCACTGCGCCTGGCCTTAGATTCATTTTTAAAAGTGTGATGTTCTCTGGGGGAGGTATCTCCCTAAGGTGGAAGGTGGCAGTGAGTTGAATTCCATGACACTTGCACAACTCCTGCCATGCTTGGCCATACCTGTTACTGGCAGGGGGGCTAAATCTGTCATAGCAACCTCAGGTGGTGGAACGGAGGGCTCAGATGAGATAATGGGTATGAAAATTTTTTGTAGGCTGGGAGCAGTGGCTCACACTTGTAATCCCAGCATGTTGGGAATCCAAGGCGGGAGGATCACTTCAACCCAGGAGTTCGAGGCCAGCCTGGGCAACATGGCAAAATCCTGTCTCTATTAAAAATACAAAAAAAAAAAAAAAAAAAAAAAATGGCATGGTGGCTCACACCTGCAATCCCAGCACTTTAGGAGGCCATGGTGGGTGGATCACTTGAGGCCAGGAGTTTGAGACCAGCCTGGCCAACATGATGAAATGCTGTCTTACTAAAAATACAAAAATTAGCCAGGCGTGGTGGTGCACGCCTGTAATCCCAGCTACTCAGGAGGCTGAGGCAGGAGAATTGCTTGAACCTGAAAGACAGAGGTTGCAGTGAGCCGAGATCACACCACTCAAATACATACATACATACATACATACATACAAAAATACAAAAAATCAACCAGGCATGGTGACTCACACCTGTAGTCCCAGCTACTCTGGAGGCTGAGGAGGGAGGATCACCTGAACTCTGGAAGTCCAGGATGCAGTGAGCTGTGATTGCACCACTGGACTCCAGCCTGGGCAATGGGAGTGAGACCTTGTCTCAAAAAAAAAAAAAAAAAAGTATTTTGTAACCTGCTAGCTAGGACCGGCCTTAGTTGCTGCTGCTCTTGACTCTTATGAAATGCAGAAAACCAAGGTCAAGAGAGTAGGTGATGATGCCATTTTACCCCTGCTTGGGAGCAGGTCCATCAATCAAATGGTAGTAGCCCAGGTTTTCAGACACACATCAAATCTTCTACCAGGCCCACCTTCCAGCCCTCCTCACTGCTTCTGCACAGCTCTAAAAGGATGGTGCATTTCCCTCACCCTGCCTAACCCAAGGCAAGTTTCCTCTTCACTACATCCGTTCTGGTCCCACTATCCCCCAAATTCTTCTAGCAGGTCCCTACAGCCATTAAATTCATTCTTTTGGATAAAGGCAAAGGTGACCATCCAGTAGAGAGGGCCCCCAGGCAGGTCTCAGTGTTCCCCAGAAGTCAAAACTCAGACTGCCTTAATGCTGCACCTCACTTCACCACATACAAAGCACTTTCTCATGCCATATCCCATTTAACCCCCAAAGGGAGGCAGGATGGTAGCATCCTGCTGGGGATACTTTGGAACCTGCTGGGGCAATTGAAACATGGGGAGGGAGGATGGGCTGATAGAGAGCTTCAGCCAGAGATGTGGAGGCTGGAGCAGGGCGTGAGGGGATGTAACTCCCCTTGATTTCCTTCTGTAAAATGGGAATAATACCACTTCATGCACTGGCTATGCATGTGCATTCGTTATGGCTCTCAAACTGAGTGTGGGAGAAGGGGGTACAGGATGGTGCTGCTGAATATACATGGCACATATATCATCTTCTTGGAATTTTACTTGAGGGTTTGGAGGTGGTGAGTTTTATAATAAAACTTGGATTTATTATGCAGCAGAATGCAAACCTGCTGTGTATTTAAAGATTTCAAAAGGAGTTTGAAAGTGATGTCATGCTTCTAGTGGGCTGCTTCTGGCTACACCCCCAGATCCCTGGGGACTGGGCACGTGATCACACCCTAGTGTGCCATGTAAGGGCTTCGGTAGGAAAGTGGGAGCAATGCTGCCTGATGAAAGATGAGAAAGTGCCTGACATGCAATAGGCAGGCAGCATTTGATGGTTCATG